AAATCAATAATCCAACCTCCTACTTTATGGGGTTAGGAAGACAAAACGAAAACAAGGAATATAAAGAAAATACTAAAGATTAGAAAAATAAACAAATTGATTTCCTCATTGTTTTTAATTAAGTAGCAAAAATTGCTTTGTTGGAAAGAGCAACAAAATTCGTAAATCTTTAACATGACCAAGAAAAATATAGAAGAGTCAGATTACTAAAATTAGGATTGATACACAAAACTTCTAATTTAACAGAAGTCTAAAGGGTTATAAGAGGAGGCTTTGAACAATTGTATGACACAAATTTGGTAACTTAGGTTGGGGAGCAGGCCAGTGAAGTGGAAATCTCTATCTTCCTTTCGAATAAATAAATAAGTGGGACTGACGCTGTGGCGCAGTGGCTTAACGCCTTGGCCCGAAGCACCAGCATCCCATATGGGCACTGGTTCAAGACCCAAGCTGCTCCACTTCTGATCCAATTCTGTGCTATGCCCTGGGAAAGCAGTAGAAGATAGCCCAAGTCCTTGGGCCCCTGCACCTGCATGGGAGACCCGGAAGAAGCTCCTGGCTCCTGGCTTTGGATCGACACAGCTCCAGCTGTTGGGGCCAATTAGGGAGAGAACCATCGGATGGAATATCTCTCTCCTTCTCTCCCTCTTTCCCTCTCTCCCTCTCTCCCTCTCTCCCTCTCTCCCCCTCTTCCCCTCTTCCTCCTCCCTCTCCCCCCTCCCACTCCCTCTCTCTGCCTCTCCTCTCTCTCTGTGTAACTCTTCCAAATAAATAAGTAAATCTTTAAAAAAAATAAAAAAATTTTAAAACGTTAGGTAGACAAATTCATGGAAGGACACAAAGCACTGAAACTGGGGTAAGAAGGAATAGAATACCTGAGTAGATCTACAACAAGTAAATATTAAATTAGTAATCAAAACATGTCCTGTAAAGAAAACACCAGGCTGACGTGGCGTAACGGTAAAGCAGCTACCTTCGATGCATGCATCCCTGATAGGCACCAGTTTGTGTCCCAGGTGCTCCACTTCCAATCCAGCTCTCTGCTAATGGCCTGGGAAAAGCAGCAGAAGATGGCCCACGTGTTTGGGCCCCTGCTCTCCACATGATAGACACAGATGAAGCTCCTGGCTTCGACCTGGCCCAGCACTGGCCTTTGTAGCCTTCTGAGGAATGAACTAGCATATGAAAGATCTTTCTCTGTGTGTTTCTCTCTTTCACATAATAAATAGATAGATAGATAGATAGATAAGATATTTAACAAAAGAAAGAAAAGCCCCATGACAAAATATCTTCACTGATGGATTCCACCAAAAATTTAAAGAATCGGGAGAATCTTTCACAGTGTCTTAAAAAACTAGAAGAGGAATAATTTACTCATTTTATGAGGTCGTCATTACTTGGTACTAAAACAAGCCAAGACATCACAAGAAAACTGCACAGTACTATCTCTTAAAACTCTGGGAACAATATTTCTCACCAGAACCTAAAAAACTGAATTTGGCAGCTTACTAAAAGGATTATATACCATGGTTAAGGTGAAATTTATTCCAGGAATACAAGGTTGGTTTAGTTTACTAAATCAGTTAATATAATACACCATATTAGAATAGATGACCAAAAACCGTATGATCTTCTTGGGATGCAAAAAGCACATAAAACATAAAGCAATATCCAACATATTTTTATGATTAAGAAAACACTCAACAAGGAGGGATAAAACTTTCAGCTAGTATGACACTTAATAGTGAAAGATGAAGGTTTTCCCCTAATTTCAAGGTCATGACAAGGATATCCACTCTCGCCACTTCTGTTTGATATTTTATTGGAGGTTCTAATCATGCCAATAAGACAAAATAAAATAATTTAAAAGTAACACAAATTGAAAAAGAAAAATTATTTGCAAGTGACATGATATTCTATATTGAAAACCCTGAAGAATCCATAAAGAAATTATTGCAGCTAATAACAATGTTGACAAGGTTTCAGGATACCAGATCAATATATAAAAATTAATGGCAGTTTTATTCACTAGTAACCAAAAATGAAGAAAATTCCACATAAAATAGCATTCTCAAAAATAGAATACTTAGGAATGAGTTTAACGGGAGGTAAAAGATCTATACATTGAAACCTGAAAAATGCTATTGAAAAACTTAAGTAAATGAAAAGAATTTTAGGTTCATGGTTTGGAAGACTTACTGTTAGTGTATCAGCACTGCTCATCTTTATCAATAGTTTCAGTGTAATATCAGTCAAAATCTCAGTTGGCTTTCTGACAGAAATTGAAAAGTTGATCCTAAAATCACTATGGAAATGCAGGGAACTCAGAATGGCCAAAACAAATATAGGAAAAGAAGAAAACAGGTGTAAGTTTTCTTGAACTGGGATTAGGCAGTAATTTGTTAAATTTGATAGCAGAAGCACAAGTAATCAGAAAAATGAAAATAAACTGAATTTTGTCACAGCTTAAATTTCTGTTAATTTGAAGCACAGAATTAAGAAATCAAAGACAGCTCTCACATGGAGAAAATATTTTCTCATCATGTATATCTAGTGTCCAGAATGTGTATAAAGAACTCATATAACTCAAGAAAAAGACAAAATGTGCAATTTAAAAATGGACATTTTTAATAGACATTTGTCCAAAAAAGATATGCAAATAGCCATTAAGACTCAAAAGAGGCCGGTGCCGCGGCTCACTAGGCTAATCCTCCGCCTTGTGGCGCCGGCACACCGGGTCTAGTCCCGGTCAGGGCGCCGGATTCTGTCCCGGTTGCCCCTCTTCCAGGCCAGCTCTCTGCTGTGGCCAGGGAGTGCAGTGGAGGATGGCCCAAGTGCTTGGGCCCTGCACCCCATGGGAGACCAGGAGAAGCACCTGGCTCCTGGCTTCTGCCATCGGATCAGCGTGGTGCGCCAGCTGCAGCGCGCTGGCCGCAGCGGCCATTGGAGGGTGAACCAACGGCAAAGGAAGACCTTTCTCTCTGTCTCTCTCTCTCTCACTGTCCACTCTGCCTGTCAAAAAAATTTTTTAATTTAAAAAAAAAAAAGACTCAAAAGACTAGGTTCTTTATTGATCACTAAGGAATATAAATCAAAACCATAATTAAGTGCCTTCTAGAAATATACCTGCTAGAGTGGTATAAATAAAAATGATGTGAAATAACTGTTGTTAAGGCTGTGCAGATTTTGGAATTTTCCTGCATAGCTACTGCTAATGTAAAATTGTGCAACTGCTTTGGAAAATAGTATGATAGTTCCTCAAGATTTTAAGCATAATTACCATATTACCTGGGAATTCTATTCCTAGGTAATCACCCCAAGAGATTCACTCCAAGAATAAAAAACATGTATATTGGTGCCGTGGCTCAATAGGCTAATCCTCCACCTAGCGGCGCCAGCACCACGGGTTCAAGTCCCGGTCGGGGCACTGGATTCTGTCCCAGTTGCCCCTCTTCCAGTCCAGCTCTCTGCTGTGGCCCGGGAGTGCAGTGGAGGATGGCCCAAGTGCTTGGGCCCTGCACCCTATGGGAGACCAGGAGAAGCACCTGGCTCCTGGCTTCAGATCAGCATGGTGCGCTGGCTGCAGTAGCCATTGGAGGGTGAACCAACGGTAAAGGAAGACCTTTCTCTCTCTGTCTGTCTCTCTCTCTCTGTCCACTCTGCCTGTCAAAACAAAACAAAACAAAACATGTATACAAATGTTCCCAGAAAAACTTGTATGAAAATGTTCATAACCACATTAGAAACAATACAGACATCTCTATTCACTATGAGTAAACAAAATATCATATACTTGCATAAAGCAATTTTTTCGGGCATAAAAAGGAATATGATATGAGTCAATCTTAAAAACATGTTATATCACCTTTTTTCATTTATGCAATAAAAAACAAAATGCCACATATTTTATGATTCCAGCTAAATAAAATGATCAAAATAGGCAAATCTATAATTACAGAAAATATGTTAGTGGTATCCAGAGGATGGTATATAATTGAGTTAATTTGGAGTGACTGGTAGTGGGCACAGGATTTCTTTTTTTTTTTTTTTTTTTTTTTAAGATTTGCTTATTTTTTGAAAGGCAGAGTTACAGAGAGGTCTTCCATCTGTTGGTTCACTCCCCAGATGACTGCAATAGCCAGAGCTGCGCTGATCTGAAGCCAGGAGCCAGGAGCTTCTTCCAGGCCTCCCATGCAGGTGCAGGGGTCCAAGGACTTGGGCCATCTTCTGCCGCTTTCCCAGGCCATAGCAGAGAGCTGGATCGGAAGTGTAGCAGTTGGGACTTGAACTGGCACTCATATGGGATGCTGGCCCTGCAGGTGGGCAGCTTTACCCACTACATCACAGTGTCGGCCCCTTGCACTTTTTGGAGTAATTACTTTTTGGAGTAATAAAAATTGTAGAATTGATAGTGATGTAAGTTGTACAGAATTATGTATATTACAAGCCACTAAACTGTGCATTTTTCAATTTTAAAATTTTTGAAATATTTTAAAAACCAGCAAATTAAATCTTACAATCAATAAAAAGAATAATGTACCAAGACTACAAGCAATTATACTAGAAATTCAAAGCTATTCCAAAATTTGAATTAACCAGTGTTATCTATATTAAGTTGAAAGAAGAAAACCTGCATGAGTATATCAATTACATTGTAAAATATTTTTTACAAAATTAAATATTCATGATTAAAACTCATAAAATTAGGAAAAAGGACATTTAGGTAAAAGTTATTATTAATACGTAAAGATTAGCCTGTGCAGCTAAGGAAGATCTTGATTTAGAAGTAAAATACATGTAACATTTTTGGATATAGATTAGTAGTTGGCAGAAATAGATTTCTTCACATACCTACTTTGATACATTGTATTGGTACCTTCTTTAGCTTTTCTCATAATGAATTAAAGGAATGTATAACTGACACACCATTGATTTTCTGTCTGTCCCATCACAAATCTGGCTTTTATTTTCAATATTTTATTTCCCCCTATTTTTTGTAGATGTATTCGACACAAAAATGATTGGGGAGCTCTTATTCTAGTGGATGATCGCTTCGGGAATAACCCAAGTCGCTATATATCTGGTAAGATTCACAGCTGGGCTTGGACTAAGAACCATTAACAGTCTGCTTTTTTTTTTTTTTAATTGTGCTTAAATATATAACATGAGATCTGCTTTCTTAACTTTTTAAGGGTATAGATCCATATAGTTAACTGTAAGTAGAATATTGTACACCAGAGCTCTAGAACTTTTTATTTTGTAAAACTGAAGCATTATGCAAATTGAACAGCGATGCCCCTTTTGCCCCTTCTTCTAACCCCTGGCAACCACCATTATATTTCCTGCTTTTTGTCAGTGATTACTCAGATAATTCATTCAAGTTGAATTGTGCAGTATTTATCCTTTTGTGATTGGCTCATGCCTTCACAGTTCATCCATGCTGCAGTCTCTAATGGGGTTTTCTATTCTATTTCTGAATAATATTTCGTTGTATATATGAGCCATATTTTCTTCATTCTTCTGTCATTAGGTGTTTAGGTTGTTTCTACTTAGGTATTGGGAACAATGCTGGAGTGAATATGGCAGTATTCATATATACATTTTTAAAAAATTATTTGAGAGACAGAGTTAGACACAGAGGGAGATCCTCCATCTGCTGGATCACTCTCTAAATGCCCATAACAGCTGGACCTGGGCCAGGCCAAAGGCAGAAACCCAGATCTCAACCTGGTTCTTTCACATGGGTGGCAGGGACCCAACTACTAAAACCATTACCAGCTTCCTCTACACATCAGTAGGAAGCTGGAATCAGAGTGGATATGGGACTTAAACCTAGGGCTCTGGTGTGAAATGTAAGTATCCTAAACAGCATCTTAAATAATGTACTAAATGCTCGCCCCTGTAATTTATTTTAAAACCAGGAAAGATTATGCCTGTAGCATTACCTGCTGTTGGTCCTTTGTGGTTCCATATGAACTTTAGGATTTCTTTTTCTATCTCTAAAAACATGTCATTAGGATATTGATACAGATTGCACCAAATTTGCAGACTGCTTTTGGTAGTATGGATATTTTAACAATATTAAGTCTTCTAATCCGTGAACATGTGGTTCTTTTTCATTTCTATGTGTCATCTTTAATTTTTTGTTTTTGATGCTATTCTAAATGGCATTGTTTTCTTAAAATCCTTCCTGAATATTTTTTAATGTTTGTTGTTAGTATACAGAAACAAATTTTTAAGTGGATTTTGGTATCCTCCAGCTTTACTGGATTTACTAGGTCTGACACTCTTTTTTTTTTTTTTTTTTTTTAATTTTCATCTAAAAGCATGTCATTTGTGACGAGATAATTTTGCTGTTTCTTTTCCATCACAGATTCATTGTGTTTCTTTTTCTTGCCTAAAAGTTCTATTTTTAGGACTTTCAACTAAGAATTAGTGAGATTTTGGGGCCGACACGGTGGCGCAGCAGGTTAAAGCCCTGGCCTGCAGTGCCGGCATCCCATATGGGCACTGGTTCGAGTCCCAGTTGTGCTCCACTTTCAATCCAGCTCCGGGCTGATGCACCTAGGAAAGCAGTGGAGGACAGCCCAAGTCCTTGGGCCCCTGCACCCACGTGGGAGACCCGGATGAAGTTCCTGGCTTCATCCTGACCTAGCACCAGCCATTGCAGCCATTTGGGTTGTGAACCAGCAGATGGAAGACCTTTCTGTCTCTACCTCTCTCTATAACTCTTTCAAATAAATAAAATAAACCTTTAAAAAAATTATTGAGATTGGACATCCCTGTTTCAGGTCTTAAGGAAAAGCCTTTGGGTGTTTTTGGTGTTTTTTTTTTTTTTTTTTTTTTTTTTTTTTTTTTTTGGCAGGCAGAGTGGACAGTGAGAGAGAGAGAAACAGAGAGAAAGGTCTTCCTTTTGCCGTTGGTTCACTCTCCAATGGCTGCCGCGGCCGGCACGCTGCAGTCGGCGCACCGCGCTGATCCAATGGCAGGAGCCAGGTGCTTCTCCTGGTCTCCCATGGGGTGCAGGGCCCAAGCACTTGGGCCATCCTCCACTGCACTCCCTGGCCACAGCAGAGGGCTGGCCTGGAAGAGGGGCAACTGGGACAGAATCCGGCGCCCCGACCAGGACTAGAACCTGGTGTGCCAGCACCACAAGGCGGAGGATTAGCCTAGTGAGCCATGGCGCCGGCCAAGCCTTTGGTTTTTAACTACTGTAAATATGGGCTTCATATATACCATTTATTATGTTAAGGTAATTTCCTTCTAGTTTATTAAATTTTTATCATCAAAGGGTGTTGAAGTTTTTTTTAAGATCTATTTATTTGAAAGTCAGAGAAATGGAGAGACAGACAGACAGCTGCACTGATCAGGAGCCAGGAGCTTCTTCCTGGTCTCCCATGTGGGTGCAGGGGCCCACATGACCCTTGGATGGCACTTGGGCCATCCTCCACTGCCTTCCCGGCCACAGCAGAGAGAGCTGGACTGGAAGAGGGGCAACCAGGACTAGAATCAGCGCCCAATGGGATGCCAGCGCTGCAAGCGGAGGATTAACCTAGTGTACCATGGCACCGGCCCCATGGGAAAATCTTTTTTAAAAATGAAGGAAACATAAAGATGTAGTTTTTTTTATTTGAAAGGTAGAGTTATGGGAGGAGAGAGAGAGAGATCATCCATTCACTCCCCAAATGGATTTAATGACTGGGCCATGCCTAAGCCATGAGCTTCGTACAGGTTTCCCATAAGGGTGGCAGGTACCCAAGGACTTGTGCCATCTCTGCTTTTCCAGCCCATTAGCTTGTGGATCAGAAGTGGAGTGACTAGGACTTGAAACAACACTCATGGATGATGGTGGTGTTGTAGGTGTTGGGCTTAATCTGCTATACCACAATAATGGCCCCATCTTTCCTTCATTTTGATGGACAATTTTACCAGATATCCTGTTCTTGCCTGGGAGGTTTCCCCTTTCATAACTTTGACTGTATTATCCCACTTTCATCTGGCCAGGAGAAATCCATTGATAGTCTTATGGCGATTCATTGCTTTTCCCTTGCTGCTTTCAAAACTCTCATTTTGACTTTTAATAATTTGATTATATTGTATCTTCATATAGACTTTGGGTTCATCCGGTTTGGGTCGATAGGACTTCTTGAATCTGGATATCAATTTTTTCCTCCAGTTTAAGAAGTTTTTGCTCATTGCATCTATAAACTTTTTGTTCTTCTCCTTTCTCTTTCTAGGACTCTAAGAATTCATTTACTGCTCTGCCTGGTGGTGTCCCTTAAACACTTTGTGCTTTCTTCACTTTTTTCTTCCAGGTTATTTTTTTTTTCCCTTTTTACTCCTCTGAGTGGATAATTTTAAATTAGGTTCACTGATTCTTTTCTTTTTTTTTATTTGTTTTTTTTTAAACTTTTATTTAATGAATATAAATTTCCAAAGTACAGCTTATGGATTACAATGGCTTCCCCCCCATAACGTCCCTCCCACCCGCAACTCTCCCCTTTCCCACTCCCTCTCCCCTTCCAATTCACATCAAGATTCATTTTCGTTTCTCTTTATATACAGAAGATCAGTTTAGCATACATTAAGTAAAGATTTCAACAGTTTGCTCCCACACAGAAACATAAAGTGAAAAATACTGTTTGAGTACCAGTTATAGCATTAAATCTCAATGTACAGTACACTAAGGACAAAGATCCTACATGAAGAGTAAGTGCACAGTGACTCCTGTTGTTGACTTAACAAATTGACACTCTTGTTTATGGCATCAGTAATCAACCTAGGCTCTTGTCATGAATTGCCAAGGCTATGGAAGCCCCCTGAGTTCACTGACTCTGATAATTTTTAGACAAGGCCATGGTCAAAGTGGAAGTTCTCTCCTCCCTTCAGAGAAAGGTACCTCCTTCTTTGATGACCTGTTCTTTCCACTGGGATCTCATTCACGGAGATCTTTCATTTAGTTTTTTTTTTTTTTTTTTTTTTTTTTTTTTTTTTTCCAGAGTGTCTTGGCTTTCCATGCCTGAAATACTCTCATGGGCATTTCAGCCGGATCTGCATGCTTTAAGGGCTGATTCTGAGGCCAGAGTGCTGTTTAGGACATCTACCGTTCTATGGGTCTGCTGTGTATCTCACTTCCCATGTTGGATCATTCTCTCCCTTTTTTATTCTATCAGCTAGTATTTGCAGACACTAGTCTTGTTTATGTGATCCCTTTGGTTCTTAGTCCTATCATTATGATCAATTGTGAATAGAAATTGATCACTGGGACTAGTGAGATGGCATTGGTACATGCCACCTTGATGGGATTGAATTGGAATCCCCTGGTATGTTTCTAATTCTATCGTTTGAGGTAAGTCAGCTTGAGCATGTCCCGAATTGCACATCTCTTCCCTCTCTTATTCCCACTCTTATATTTAACAGTGATCACTTTTCAGTTAAGTTTCAGCACTTAAGAAGAATTGTGTATTGCTGATTTTTTTCTTCTGCTTAGTCAAGTGTTCTTCTTTTTTTAAAATAATATTTTTTTTTATTTGAAAGACAGAGTTAGAGGTAGAGCCAGAGAGAGAGAAAGAGGTCTTCAATTCCACTGGTTCACTCCCCAGATGGCTGCAACGGCCAGAGCTACACCAATCTGAAGTCAGGAGCTTCCTCCAGGTCTCCCACGTGGGTGTAGGGGCCCAAGGAGTTGAGCCATCTTCCACTGCTTTCCCAGGCCATAGCAGAGAGCTGGATCGGAAGAGGAGCAGCCAGGACTTGAACCAGCCCCAGCCCCCTCAGGTCTTCTTAAGTTTAGTTTAGTTCAGTTTATTTCTCGCATTTTTCAAGCTCCAAAATTTATTTGGTTCTTATTTGTATTATCTTATCTCTTTGCTGATACTTTCTTTTCCTCTTCCTCTCCCCGCATATCATTTTTTAACAGTTATCTTAAATTATTTGTTAGGTAATTCATATACCTCTGTTTAGGATCGATTTCTGGAGATTTATTTCATTCCTTTGATGGTGCTCTTTGTCCCTGTTTCTCTGTATTTCTCACAGCGTTGTATTGATATCCTAATAGCAGTCGCCTCACGGTGTTTAGGACTG